TCCTTTACCTTCTACATGTTTTGTAACTGTTCAAAATATGATACAGACTACACAACAACACAGATGTTGATAATGATATATTTGTTTTATTTAAGAATAAACGTTTTTTAAAAAAAGTTTTAAACCTTCTAAACTCTTCTAGTTCGATCTTTTAGCACGATATAAATCAAAATCTACTATAAACAATTCCATTTTAAATTAGTCTTTTTTTTAAAACTAGTATATTTATTATACCAGCAGCGTGTTACGATATTAAAGACGTTTGTTTTATAACAGGTTTATATGGGCTAGATCGCACATATTTTTTTCCCAGAGGCGTAGCCAGGATCGTCTCAAGGGGGGGGGGGGTTTCCAATTTTTACCCGGGGACAAACTTTCGATTTGCACCCCCCCCCCCCTTCAAACTTTCGATTTGCACCCCCCTCAAACTTTCGATTTGCACCCCCCTCATACTTTTTATATATATACCGAGGGGTCTATGGGGGGGGGGTTATGACCCCCCCTAACCCTCCCCCTCCCTGCCTACGCCACTGTTTTTTTCAAACACATGTAGTAGTAATTTAAAAAGTCATTTTCAAAAATCGTAAATTCTTCTAAATAACTCTGGAGCCTTGAGATGCTCGTTCACCTTGGTTACATGGTTGTTAAGTCACTGTTACCAACGTTGGTTATATATCATTATTTATTTATTGTTGAAAATGGATATTGGTCTAGGTTGAAAATAGATATTGGTCTAGGCAGTGGCGTAGCGAGGTCGGGTGTCACCCGGTGCGGCACTTAATGGTGTCACCCCCCAAGAGGCATAGAGACCCTTCCCGGGGACAAAATTTCAAATTTTCGATTTGCACCCCCCCTCAAACTTTCAATTTGCACCCCCCCCCTCAAGTTTTCGATTTGCACCCCCCACCCCCTCAAACTTTCGATTTGCACCCCCCTCGAGTTTTTCTCTATATGTTTTACTATTTTTTACCTTGGTGTCACCCCCCCTAAATGGTGTCACCCGGTGCGGTCCGCACCCCCCGCCCCCCCCCCCCCCCCTCGCTACGCCCCTGGGTCTAGGTCTAGGTTGAAAATAGATATTGGTCTAGGTCTAAGTTGAAAATAGATATTGGTCTAGGTCTAGGTTAAAAATAGATATTAGTGAAGGTTGAAATTAGATATTGATCTAGGTTGAAAAAGTTTTCAACAGATAGTTGAAGTGACTTTTCACAGGATACGAACACACACATCGTAGCGCGTTTGGCAAGGTTTTTCATGTAATTTATTTTTTTTTTAACAAAAATTTTAAAATACCTGACACACTGCAGACATTGGGTCCCACCCCCTTTCATCAGCCAAAATAGGGTCCCACAACCTTTCATCAACCAACATTGGGTCCCACCATTTCCCATCCACCAACACTGGGTCTCACCATCTACCATCCACCAACACTGGGTCTCACCATCTCTCATTAATCAACATTAGGTCCCACCATCTCCCATCAACCAACATTAGGTCCCACCATCTCTCATCAACCAACATTGGGTCCCACCATCTCCCATACCACCAACATTGGGTCCCACCATCTCTCATCAACCAACATTGGGTCCCACCATCTCCCATACCACCAACATTGGGTCCCACCATCTCTCATCAACCAACATTGGGTCCCACCATCTCTCATCAACCAAAATTGGGTCCCACCATCTCCCATACCACCGACATTGGGTCCCACCATCTCCCATCAACCAACATTGGGTCCCACCATCTCTCATCAACCAACATTGGGTCCCACCATCTCTCATCAACCAACATTGGGTCCCACCATCTCTCATCAACCAACATTGGGTCCCACCATCTCTCATCCACCAACATTGGGTCCGACCATCTACCATCCCACCATAACAGCCCAGCTCAAAGAAAAACACAAGACAATAGTTTCTCACAGCCCACTTATATGGGCAGTTTTTATTATGTAAGAGCTGATGTTTCCTTACAAGAAATATCCTCAAGCAATCATGCATGCATCTGGTGACCTCTGACCTACAAGTTTACTCCTGTGTTTAATTAAAAATTAAAATGGGATACTGATAATAAATATTTTTTTAATATAGAAAGGACAGCAACTCAAGATAAATTTAACAGCCCAACGCTTACTTCCCTTTGATAACTCCTTACCTACAGGTTCTAGTACAGATTCCCAGAGACTCAGTACAACAAAAAAAATCTTGTAGATAAGAGGTACCAAGTATGATCTTGTATCTAGCACGTTAACCATTGGTACACCATTACACTAAATTACAGGGCCAGTGATAATCTACACCATTTGTATACCATTATTGGTACAAAAAAGTCAACATTATAGGGACAGTGATAATCTATACCATTTGGTACAACATTATAGGGACAGTGATAATAATCTATACCATTTGTATACACTACTATAAGGACAGTGATAATAATCTATACCATTTGTATACCATTATTGGTACACCACTATAGGGACAGTGATAATAATCTATACCATTTGTATACCATTATTGTTACACCATTACAGGGATAGAGATAACACGATCTACATTATTGGTATACCAGTATAAAAAAAGTCGCAGAATGTTAAAAATTGATACATCACTACGGCACCAGTAATGCCATATCAGATTAACCATGGTACACTTTCACATACAGAAGCAAAAATAAACTCCATGTCCCAGGTAGATGTACATCATGGATTCACTCATTAATTAGCAAATTAACTTCTTTTTAACTTTTTTTTTAATTTAAAAACTAAATTAGGCACAGAAAATTTAAATCAATTTAAAATCTGGATTTCTTTTGTAGAAAATTTCCTTTCCAAGAAATACAAAAAAATCAATGAAAGAAAAACTAAACATGTGAATCGATTTTCTTTTTTTTTTTTTAGTTAGTAAAGCATAAGAAATCAAAGTTTTAAAATACAGTAATTCAGTGCAGAAAGACAAATTGAGTTACGTAAAAAAACTTTTTTTTTACTGTTTGCTTGTAACTAGAAAACACTGACTAGTAAAAGTTTTACAGTAACCAAATCTAGTCTTGGACAAATCAAGAAACACATAGACACATGTCTTAAAGATTGCACATGAAGTTAAGCTACAATGGAACAAGATGGGTCTACATTGGTTAACATGAAGATATCGATACAGCCAATATAGTACATGCAAGAAGTAAACATATGTTCAGAAATACAAAGCTCAAATAACACTTGTTTAAGATGGTTCTATGTACATCAAGAATTACTACAAAAAACAATATTAAGATTTGATGTACTCATACCATTAAAACATAGGGGATCTTTATAAGAAGAAAGTACACACAAAAACAACAGCAAAAATGGTATTTGAACAATATTTTTGGTGTTTCACAGTTCTATCTTGAGTTGTATGCAGTACCAAAGATAAAAAAGAAAACAAATTAATACAAATGGAACATAAAAAGAATTTGAAAAAAATGTCCTCAGATAAATGACAGGTTTATCAAAAGAGACCTATTCAATTATATTTGTTTAGAAATTAGCTAACTACTTTCCAATGACAACTAACACTGTAATAAGGTTAATTAAATGACATGAGATATGAAGAAAAACATTGCTTTAAGTGGTAAATAAGTTGAGATTCAGGTGAAGCAAAATTTGTCACTTAATGGTTGCAGAAAAGAAAACGCCTAATCATAATCAAAATGAACCATCAACAGTTTAATTCTGTCCTCCAAAAATTGTAATTAAGATTTAAATTTAAAGGCACACAAAAAATTTCATACAATAAATAAATTATTTCCCTTGAAACAAGTACTCTCCCTTGTAAGTTGTGGGTTCAGTTTATTAAAAGTTATAAAAAAAAAAACAACATCTGAACAGTTGTGCATATATTTAAATTAAAAATAGGTTTGCTTTAAGTTTTTGAAAATGTATAATTACAACATACATGTTTACTAACAAATAAATAATTCAATAATATTATGTAAAATTAATGTATTCTAGTATCATATAAACAAAAATGTTTGCAAGATGTTCCATTGATAAATAAAAGAGAATAACACAAATCACTGTCATCATCATAATGTTCAACATGTGACCTCAAAATTAGAAAGAAAAAAAAATTCTGCTAGTAAATTCTGTCTAAAAATTTTAGAAAATTAAAATCTAGTTTTAACTGACTTTTTAAAATAAAAATAAAATAAAAGTTCAGTATTTGAGTTCCCAGAATCCACACAAACCTGATACATTACAGTAATACATGCTCAAGGCTAGCACCACATTGTTAGCACAGGTAACAGGGTAATAAAATAGTGTGAGAGTAATGAAGGTTATACTGAAATCATGACAACATTAACATTTGATGGGGCTGGTTATGTCCCCTTCTTCCATGGTACATGATAGGGTACTGATTGTTTAAAATTAATTATATACCTAGGGACTTGCTTGATCCAAACTTATCACTTATCTCTTCTACCAACTCCACCATCCCCACTAACTATCAGCCCAACTACTTAACTATCAACACTACCTCAAGAAAACAAATCTACAATCATCAAGTCTTTCTGCAACTAAGTCAAACATTCTATAATCTTACTACAACTATACCTTTCATTAAATTATAAAATATTTTAACACCAGAAGACTAGATCAGCTCTAATAATTAGGATTCTTTCAGATCTATTTAGCCCTAATTGGTATGGCTAATATATCATATGAATAGATAAAAAGACATGTTTGAAACTCCATCTATACAAGTTCACAACCAGTATAGCCTTCAATCTTATCCCTTTTGTGTAATTTTGACACTAGTCTTCATAGACAGCCAATTTTCTTTAGCTTTTTAATGCAACAAAATGTGTTATTGTTTCACACTATACACCAATGTCCAGACAAAATTAAACCAATGTTTACAACAAATATGTTAAAGTTCAGACACTTATAGCAAAGATTTACATTGCAAGTAATAATTGCATCTAAACAAAACAAGTTTAAGTCTCATGACAGTAAAAAATCATCTAACTCTAAGATTCAGGTAATGCACTAATTATTCTCAACAACAAATCTTGTTTAGTCAGTTCTAAATTTAGCTCTTAAGAGTTATCACAGTTAAGACAAAGCACTTGAAGTTCCGAACACAAAAAATGTATATTATTAATAGTCGCATGCAAACACGTAAATTTAAAAAAAATTAATATTTTAACTAGTATGAATATAATGGAGTATTTCCCCGCTATGGTAGAAAAAATATTAAATTCCTAGAGTTGTCTAAACTTTCCCTGATTTAACAGCTTCATCGTAGGCTTTCTTTAATCTCTTCTTCAGCTCCCCAGGGAACTTGTCGTAACAGTTCTTGCACACGGGCTTCTGGTCAAACTCAAAGAACTTGGTCCTGCAACACACATGGGGGGGGAGGGGGGTTGAATTTTTACTGTTGGGTGAAGTATCATAACTTGAACAGTAATAGCTTAGTCTTACATTGCACCATTTCTCATACATCTGCTTATATTCTCAGTTCAATCCTATTGTGTATTATAACTATGTAATATTATTTCATTATTCCAAATTTAAATTCTATGTTACTTTACTTCTCAGTTTTTTTTTTTTTTTAAATGGCCAATGTGAAAAAAGGCCTCAGTCCCTATTGTTGTTACCGGTAATGAATAAATAAATTACTATTGTAAAGGAGTGGTTGTATTTAAATTATCGGTTGAATCATAGGTAAAAGTAAAACATTAATTACATTATCTTGTTATTAAGTAAAGCATAATTGATGAAAAAGTAAGTTAGGTACGATAGAGATGGGTTTAACAGGGTGATAACAAGATGGCTACTTAGGGGATGTCTGTACTAAAGTGTGAGACAAGCATGACTTACTTCTGGCTCATCTTCTTGTCACAGATAGAACAAGCAAAGTGGTTGACACACCAGGCCTTGTTGAATGCACTGAACACTGTACACAGAACAGAGCAAATCATGTAGGGGAGGTAATAAATGATGTACACACAATAATGTAAGGGAGGTAATGAGCAATGAAAATTTATTTTGAAAATAATTTTCAAAATGTGAATGTCAAACTTAAGTTTTAATTGATAAAATATAGGTATATAGATATACCTAAATACATTTGTGATTATAAATATTTAACAAGTTTCAATTAATTATCAATGTTTACAAAACTAAAAGGAGGAAAGGAAGTGCATGGGAGAGCAACATCTCAAGTTATTTTGTCAACTTTCAAACAATAATAAATAGGGGTTATCCATAAATGATGTCAAGCTTTTCTGGACAATTTTAGCCTCCCCCTCCCACCCAGTCACACATCACAAAAGTAAGACCTCTCTCACTTTAAATGACATAACACCAAACAATTCTGAACAAAAAGTTCTTCAAAACGTGAAATAAGTCAAAATTCAGTTTATTTCTGGACCCCCCTCCCCCATGTCAGTTTAGGATGACCCATAACAGGATAAATTAAAAACAAAGATTGAGGGGATAAAACAAAATATTCTTACCATCACCGTTGATTATGTTATTACACACAAAGCAGATGTTGCCGAAAAGCTGGGGAGAGAAATCAACAGGTTGTGTTAGTTCACTTTAGTCATAAGTCACTTCAATCATAAGTCACCTCAGTCATAAGTCACCTCAGTCATGATGAGTCACTTCAGTCATAAGTCACTTCAGTCATAAGTCACTTCAGTCATAAGTCACCTCAGTTTTATGATTAGATCACTGACGTTATCCAGAGTCATACACAACCCTTGCACTGATAATTGTACCTGTAATTTAGTGTCCTATGCTAGGTACCCACTTAAGCTGAGTTTAGTCAACATGCCTGAGACACAATTTTAACTAAGACCTAAATTTTGAACTCTAAGCCTCAAAGTTAGCAACTGTGCTCACTACAACAAAACCAACCACATGTACACAGTGACAGATGATCCAAACTCTGACCATAACCCCAGCTAATGCTAGTTAACCTAAAAGAACTAAAACCAAGGTAGATGATCCAAACTCGGCTATAACCAAGAACATAACCCCAGCAAAGGTAGTAAAGTTTCATTTTTAAACATGAAGGTCCTTGGGGCAAGTGAAGTAGAGTTCACCTGTTTAGTAGTTCACCTGTTTCTCTGACTTCGACATATGAAGGGGTAATGTGGTCAGCACTATGTCCAGCCGCCTTTACTTTCCCTAACTTTAGTCCGTTACTTAGCTGGGTGGACTTCTACGGACTTGAACCTAGATTCAAACTTGAGACTTTTAGGTTATCAGTGGCATGCTATACCATTCGACCATACAGTCCCATACAGCAAACGTTGGTTAACCTAAAACAACTAAAGCCAATGTAGATAATCCAAACTCTACTTAACCCTAGACCAGAACCCCAGCTAATGCAAGTTAACCTAAAACAACTAAAGCCAATGTAGATAATCCAAACTCTAGTTTAACCTAGACCAGAACCCCAGCTAATGCAAGTTAACCTAAAACAACTAAAGCCAATGTAGATAATCCAAACTCTAGTTTAACCTAGACCAGAACCCCAGCTAATGCAAGTTAACCTAAAACAACTAAAGCCAATGTAGACAATCCAAACTCTAGTTTAACCTAGACCAGAACCCCAGCTAATGCAAGTTAACCTAAAACAACTAAAGCCAATGTAGATAATCCAAACTCTACTTAACCCTAGACCAGAACCCCAGCTAATGCAAGTTAACCTAAAACAACTAAAGCCAATGTAGATAATCCAAACTCTACTTAAACCTAGACCAGAACCCCAGCTAAGTTAACTAAAACCAAACTCACCTGGTGATAATGGATCTCACAGTAAGCCAAACCTTTCTTCTCATAATGCCGGGTGCCTAAAAATGGCTTCTCACACTTCGCGCACACAAAATGCTGAAGAATAAAAATTGTAATTTGAAAGTTAATATTCCGTGAACTTACAAATCGACTGTAAACAAACAGCCTAAAAATATTTTCCAAGAAGGAACATTAGGTGAACAAATACAAAAATAAATGATACTTTGTCCAAAAAATCCTAACTAATGCAACTACGTTCATCTCTACAAAGCAAATTTAACAATACAACACTTATTTTTAAACTGAAAAGAAAAAATTAAGACAAATATTTTAATCAATGACAAAATATATCCTAGCCCTTCTTCCTTATTATAATACATGTGTGTGTGTGTGTGTGTGTGTGTGTGTGAGGGGGAGGGGGGGGTTCCCTTACCTCAACATGCCAGGCTTTCCCCAGCGCGTGCACCACCCTCTCCTCTATAGGCCTCCTGCAGGCTCCACAGATGGGGATTCCCATCTTGTCGTGGCAGCGCAGGCAGTATAGCTCCGCATCTTTCTCTCTGGCGTCCTCCTTCAGCTCTATGCTAATAACAAAGTTTTAGTTTTTATTTGTAACCGAATTTTTAACCAAGAAATTCATTTCAAACTCTTCATCCTTCTAATTTCATTTTTGTCAGGATCAAAACTGTCCTATTTCTTGTTAGGTATAATCAATGATCATTACTCTCAGTAAGACCAAATAAAAAAAAAACTTTTGAAAGACACTATGTTAATAAAAAAGAAAATTTTTTAACCTATCTTTTAACTTAGATCCTTCTAATTTAATTTTTGTCTGGATCGAAACTTATTTTAATACTGCCATATTTGTCATTAGGTATAAACAATGATTACTCTTAATATCAAATAAAATGAAAAGTGTAAATTTAACTTTTGACAGACGCTAATTTAATATCTCAGGATTGATTAATTTATACTACCGATTCATCAGCCTGTAGCAATTATTTTAACCATCACACTTAAAATGAAAAATTCAGTTTTCTGTGTGAAATTTTGCCTAGGGCTATAACCATAAAAAAACATTAATTACCTCCCATGTAACAGTAAAGAGGGGGAAAATGGTGATTACCTCCCTGTGTTACTTACCCACAAGAATGACAGTTAAAGTGGTAGGGATGGTAAGCTTCACCTTTCCACTTCAGATGACCTCCATCAATAATTGAGCTAAAATCAATCACATCAACAATTCATTTAAGTAATTTTTTTTTTTAATGAACAGTACAATTACATTATGATGGTATCAATTATTAATAGTCTAACATCTTTAGCACAAATCGAATATCAAGATTTTTTTAAAACCAGAATTTTAGAAACACTTGTTTAGAAATTATTTTTATCAAGAGGATAAATGTGATCTTTATTTCTGAAGATAACCTGGAGTTGATAGATTTGTTGACTTAAGCTGCCACTAAGATTGCTAACTGTAGGCTTTACATTATATCTTGCTGGGTTTAGTGTAAATCACATCTATAAACTTACTGGCATTTGAAACAGAAGTATTTCCCAAGTCCTTTAGCCTTCTCCATTGCATTGCAGTCTTTACATAATGCCCTGTAAAAAAGACATTTGAAAACATTTAATAAGTTATAAGAAGACATTCATATATTCTGCTCTATTAAGAGAAAAAACAAACACTTTATAAGAGTACTATTCATAGAAATCATAATTTGAAAAATAGTTTTTAATTCTCCCTTTTTAAAAATGTAGTATTGTTAATTCCTGAATCTTGATGTTTAATTATTTGCTATTGCATTTATTTAGAGAAATAAAACAGCATTACCTCCCCTGGTTCTTGACAAAGCCTTCATCAGCCAAAATCTTGGCGCAGGAGAAACACCTAAAGCACTCTGGATGCCAGGATGCATTCATGGCTTTGATGACACGCCCACTGATGAACTCTCCTGTGATTAGAACATGTATTACAATAATTAAAATACATCCAGTGTGGTACAATATAATACAACACAATTACTTTTATATACTTAATAAGTAACAATAATACCATGTAACTGGGCAACTGATTAGCCTTATATTTATTTTTATGAAGCTTAAGTAATCATTAGATGATAAAGTCAATATAATAAAAGAATATTAAGATTTGTAACCTAAAAGTTCAATTCTTGGTTTAAATTATACACTGCCTGTGATAGATTAGCTTAACTATAGGCTGCCCTTGACAATTCAACTCAAGAAATTCAATGAAAGTCAGAAGTGCATGGTTCTAGCCAAATAATCCTTTCATAATTTCATGAAAGAGCAAATTCCAATATTTAAAAAAAAAACTAAAACGCACCACATTTTCCACAGCTAGGAGCAAACAGTACACAGAAGTCATGTTCACAATACTTTCTTCCTTCAAACTGTGCAGGGAAAAGTCAAATTTACAGTTAAAGCTTTACACATTGCATCATCCTATAAACTTAAATATAAACTTAATTTTTTAAAATATACTTTTTATTAAAAATATTTATATTTTACTAAGACAAGACTTCAAAACCAAGAAACCAAATTAATACATTTTAAATCAATTCTTTTCAAATTCAAAGGCAGAAGTTTTATGTAAAAATAAGTTTAGCATTTTTATAAACAGTTGTAAAATCAAATTTTTATCTAATTATCAAATAAAAATATGTTGCGGAAAGCTGTAGGTAAATACAAATATTTCTTACCTCAAAGAACCTTCCCTCAGGGAAAGGCTGGAAACATTGGGCACATCTAAGATATCAAGGAAATTCAATTGGTTAACATTTCAGTCAGTGTTTATCAAGCAGTCATGGTTATCCAACAATGCATATTTTTAGGTAAATAATGTACTTTTTAAAAAAATAAGATTTTTCATGAAATGTTTCTGAGTTTCAGTTTAAATATTTCAAAATAGACTATATAGGAATGTGTATTTTAAACTAAGCAACACTTACTGTGTGATGTTTGTCAGTTAATTAAAATTTGGTGTGTTAACTTGCATACTTATTAATCTAAGGTGAATGTTAATATTTAGCTGGTGCAGATTAATAGAGCAAATATCAGTTTTGTGTGTTTGTAGATGTGATAAAAATTTAACTAGATTGTTGACTCTAATAGTAGGCTGCTATAAAACGTCTGTGTCATATTTTAACTAAATATTTTGAAATTTAATTTTAAAAGTAAAAAAAAAGTGTCTGCAAATATTGCAAGAGAGGGAAAAACTCACACGAAGCAGTGTGTATGCCAGAGACCATTAGAGTTGACAATCTGCTCATCCATGCGGAACCCATCACAGCAGCGCTGGCAGACTGCGGTGCCCAGCGACATATTGGTACTGGAGAAAAAAGAAAAATCATATGAGCCTCACACAAACAATAATATACAAATATACCATGTGAGTTCCAGGAATCCTGTGCCTCAAAACAGCATGCCAAACCTGTATTGATACTGAAAAAAGTGTAAACTGGAAAATGTAAACAAAGTAAACCACAAAGGTGGTCAATGGTAGCAATGTTAGTTACAAGAGGCAACTGAACCATCACAAGCAGTGAGTGTTCATATCCTTACATTATATTGCCTGGTGGGACTATATGAAGCATATCATAGCATGCACAGCCAAAGATACAATTAATATCAAATATTCACTCAAAAGATTATGTTAAGTGATTCTTGTTACCCAGCAGTGTTTAGCCAGGCCTGAAAGTTTTGTAGGCTGGTAGAGAAGAGAGATCAGGTTTCTTCATTTTTTAGAGTACACAGCACATGTAGCAAGGGACCAGTTGAACAGGTATGTCAGCAGCCACCTCATTTAGAAGGGAGCCAAAGTTCTAGGGTTACATTATAAGGGGGGGGGGGGGGGGTCTTCCTGCTGTCTGGTATACATATCAGCTTAAGGACAACTTGGGTCGGGATATTAAAATTTTTCAAGAGAATTAAGTTAAGGAATAAAAAAAATTTTATAATTTTTTGTTGCATTATGGGATTAATCTAGAAATAAAAATTATATACTTGAATGTTAAATTGAGATTCACATCTGCTATGTAATTATACCGACAGTTCAATGGAATACTTGTCTCAATGTGTAGAGAAACAATGTTAGTTAAATAACACACCTATAAGCTCTGTCACCACCTAACAATACCATACACACCTAACATCATGCTCTAAATGCAGCATCTCCGCCTCATGTCCAGTCTCCACCCCGTGGGCCACCCTGCGCCTCTGAAACAAAGGACTCTGGGTCTTGGCATCAAGACGCTGGAGGCTTAGGAGGCCACGAGCAGGTCGTACTGAGGTGGTCATTTGCTTTGGTTTGTTTTCCTCTAGGTGGGCCCAGGTAGGGACTCACTACAGCAATCAGGTTAGGACACACACTACAGCAATCAGGTTAGGACCACACTACAGCAATCAGGTTAGGACCACACTACAGCAATCAGGTTAGGACCACACTACAGCAATCAGGTTAGGACCACACTACAGCAATCAGGTAGGGACTCACACTACAGCAATCAGGTTAGGACTCACTACAGCAATCAGGTTAGGACCACACTACAGCACACTAGCTGGTTCAAACTATAATACAGCTGATGTATATCAGCAATCTAGGTGCATACAACTATAGCACAAATAGGTTGTTTCAATAGCACAATTGTTGAGTGTATCAATAGCACTAATGTTTAGTGTATCAACAGCACAATATGGCATCTATAGCACAAGTGTTGATTGTACGAATAACCTAATTAGTAGATGTTTCAATAGCACAATTGTTGAGCGCATCAATAGCACAATTGGTAGATGTTTCTATAGCACCTATAGCACAAGTGTTGAGTGTAAGAATAGCCCAATTGGTAGATGTTTCAATAGCACAATTGTTGAGTGTATCAACAGCACAATTGGTAGATGTTTCTATAGCATCTATAGCACAAGTGTTGAGTGTATGAATAGCACAATTGGTAGATGTTTAAATAGCACAATTGTTGAGCGTAGTAATAGTTATGGATAGTTATATAGCACTATTGCTGGATGTATCAAAAACACATTATAAATTTAAACCTTTTGGTTTATATCCTCTATAAAGATGAAACAAAACAAGTTAAAAATAAACACAACAACTGAGTTACATCCCAACTGTAACCAGCTGACTTTATGCAAGTCATGTGACCTCATACAAGCCACCGACAACAAATGATAAATGAGCGTGAAATCCACATTGGTAAGATCAAAGCTAATCACACAAGGTCAGATGTCTAAACATGGGCACCAATTAGGACAAAGTACTAGTCAGAAGCAGGCTAGGTAGTTATGAAACTAAATACCGATATCAATGTGTTCCTATATACCCATTGATTCAAGAAAAGTGAGAGAAAAAAAACATCAGGATAAAAAAGGTTAAATAAAAAATAAACAGGACAGGTAAAAAGAAATAGGTCACATAAAAAAAGTTATACAAAAAAGTTCAGGTAAAAAGGTCAAATAATCAGTTAAGAAAGAAAGAAAGTGCCACTGATGAGCTTATTAAGCTTAAGCTAGAACTGACAAGGGCCTGTAGTATCACACTGTAGTATCACACTGTAGTATCACAATGTAGTATCAAATTGTAATATCACAATGTAGTATTAACACTGTAGTATCAAAATATAGTATTAACACTGTAGTATTAACAATGTAGTTTCAACAATGACCCTACAGGGAAACAGGTTAACTTTTATTTCCTAAAGATTAGCTCCATATGTTGTAGATCTGCTTTGTGTCAGCAACAAAGGAGAAGATAACTACTGTCAAACAAAGAAAACTGCAGAGAGTTGTCCTTTTTAATTTTTATAACAACAGGTTTATGAGTTGTAAGGGCCTCGACTCTATCAACAAAGCTGTATCACATGTGTGGAAATGTAAATGTGAGTATACAAGAGCCACCTCTGAACTTGTGGCACTTCCTGTTCGGGTAACAGAACAATACTCAGCCAGAATCTCTAGTAAACAATTGAATCAATGCCATTGAACCTAAAATACTCAGCCAGAATCTCTAGTAAACAATTGAATCAATGCCATTGAACCTAAAATACTCAGCCAGAATCTCTAGTAAACAATTGAATCAATGCCATTGAACCTAAAATACTCAGCCAGAATCTCTAGTAAACAATTGAATCAATGCCATTGAACCTAAAATACTCAGCCAGAATCTCTAGTAAACAATTGAATCAATGCCATTTATTCCACAATACTAAGCCAGAATCTATAACAGTCCTATGAATCAATGCCATTTACTCCACAATACTTAGCCAGAATCTCTAAGAGTCCTATTGAATCAATGACATTAATTTCACAAACTAGTGTCTGAATCAACATATTTGAATTCCAGTTTGGCACATTTACAACAAATTGTAAACCCTCTACATCTACTGCATCAAACTACCCCACATGGTGAAGTAAGGACAGTTCAATTACACAATGTAAAGCATATACAGCAACTTGTACACCAGCAACTTATAGACCAAGTAGACTAGTGTAACATGGGTGAGAAATTCTTCACTTTGTAAAACATTTCACAATCGTTTCTCAGAAACTCATTCTGTTTCTACACATTTTTAGAGGTAATTAGACATCAGATTGAAAGTACAGAAAATGTGTCTACTACTACTATGTAACTACTTCTATAGGAGCTGGCTATGTGACTTATACAGCTAGAAGCTATGAGTGTAGGGGCCCTCTATACTCAGCATCAAATCAAGAAATCAATAGAGTCACTGAGTAACCAAACTACGCCGTTGGTGGCTCATTACTAGAGGAAACGGGAGACACTAGATATCAACAAGGGTCAAAGGTCATGTTTTGTCTAGAAACGGATGTGATAGCTAGGTTAGCCAGCCTGTAGACCCACCTTATCAGCGGGGGTTCGGGGCACGACTAGGCAATGGGGTGCAGTGCAGTATTGAAGGGGTTCGGTATTGGACTAGTCCGGTAAACATTAGTCACTGTAATTCACACCTTAAAATTTCAAGTTCCACAACTGTACTTGAGATATGTATGTTAAGAGTAAGAAGACGCCACTTAACAATATTTTCAACATTTTAGTCAGCTAAAGTACAGTAGGCCTATAGCCTAAAATGTGTTCGGCACGGAGTTGTCTAATTTTTTGAAAGGCAGCATTAGTCTCCCTTGACACGGCTAGCTGTCACTGAATCCCGGCTACACTCACGTCACCGACACCTTTTGGCTGCCGTTGTTACAGGTGTAAGGTGTACTGCCGTTGTTACAGGTGTAAGGTGTACTGTCGTTGTTACAGGTGTAAGGTGTACTGTCGTTGTTACAGGTGTAAGGTGTACTGTCGTTGTTACAGGTGTAAGGTGTACTGTCGTTGTTACAGGTGAAAGGTGTACTGTCGTTGTTACAGGTGTAAGGTGTACTGTCGTTGTTACAGGTGTAAGGTGTACTGTCGTTGTTACAGGTGAAAGGTGTACTGTCGTTGTTACAGGTGTAAGGTGTACTGCCGTTGTTACAGGTGTAAGGTGTACTGCCGTTGTTACAGGTGTACGGTGTACTGCTGTAACAAGGTGTAAGGTGTACTGCCGTTGTTACAGGTGTAAGGTGTACTGCCGTTGTGACAGGTGTAAGGTGTACATGGAATGTTGGTGTTGTTGTGGTTGTTAGAATTACGTTGATGTTTGTTTCATCACTGATGTGTTGAAGTTTCATCACTGATGTGTTGTTTGTTTTCATCGTTCATGTTGAAATGTTCATCATAGATGAGATGTGTTGCTGTTATTCACGCTGTGTTTTCAAGGTTGATGACTTATGTGAAAATGTTTGTTATCAGTAATGTGCCAATGTTTTATATCATGGTTTGTTGTCTAGGCCTCAATGCTGATGAGAAACAGACCAAAATCCAAATGAACACGCCACACCTTCCAGTGAGTAGCTACGTGTGTACAAGTACAAATGACCAATCACCTACACACGTATCGGAGTGACTGTAAAACAAGACGTAGACACAAGAAACACGAGGGCCATACACTACATTAATGACACCACTATATCATTGGATCAACGGTGCCGTGGTTTTATCTTTCACGCTGGGCGCGTTCAACAAAGGACGCCTTTCTAATTTTACATGCCGAAATGCGTTTCATTAAGTAGACATGAAAGTTACCGGCCTTGGGAGGTTAAGGCAAGTTAAAGCTACTGGAAGGTGTCCTGTCCTTGGCCGTAACTACAGGACTATGTTCTAACTTGAGGCTAACTAGAGGACAATGTCCTGTCCTTAGAATATAACTAGAGGACACTCTCCTGTCCTTAGAATATAACTATAGGACACTGTCTTGTCCTTAGAATTTACCTAGAGGACAATGCCCTGTCCTTAGAATATAACTAGAGGACAATGCCCTGTCCTTAGAATATAACTAGAGGACAATGCCCTGTCCTTAGAATATAACTAGAGGACAATGCCCTGTCCTTAGAATATAACTAGAGGACAATGCCCTGTCCTTAGAATATAACTAGAGGACAATGCCCTGTCCTTAGAATATAACTAGGGGACAATGCCCTGTCCTTAGAATATAACTAGAGGACAATGCCCTGTCCTTAGAATATAACTAGGGGACAATGCCCTGTCATTAGAATATAACTAGGGGACAATGCCCTGTCATTGAATACAGCTAACGGACTATGTCCTGTCCTTAGAATTTACCTAGAGGACTATGTCCTGTCCTTAGAATTTACCTACAGGACTATGTCCGGTCCTTAGGATATAATAACTAGAGGACAATGCCCTGTCTTTAGAATTTAACTAGAGGACTATGTCCTATCCTTAGAATTTAACCAGAGAACTATGTCCTGTCCTTAGAATATAACAACTAGAGGACTATGTCCAGTCAGATTATAACTAGAGGACAATCGATGAACTACGTCAGTAGATTAGCCTTATGCCTTATATAGACGACAATCAGGATAATAGAGGCCACTGAGTGAGCCAACTAATTCATTAACTCCTACCATACAGAAAATGGGAACTCATCAGCAAAACGAACATCCATACAGTGACACAACTCTATCTATTCTGACACAATATCTATGCGGGAGAAATCCTACACGATAATAAGAAAACACTAAACTTCCTGAACGCGTCCACAAAGTTTAAAAACTTGAAAACACGGTTAAAAGCCACGAACAAAACAAAAAAAACTGACTAAAACACCATGCATCTGTATTTCTATCTGTATGGATCTATGTGACACAAAAACCAAACTTGGCGGTGAGGCTGTATCAAGTTAATTATACACTACTCACAGCTTGTGGTGTATATTTAAGCATAACTAACAACGTTGCCGCACCACGTACGTCGACACTTATCGCACGGTACCCAGCCAATCGAGACGGCTGAACTTTGGAGAGCGCACACATTGGGAGCACAAAACGACGTACCGAGGACGTCATCGATAGACTAGATTTTTTTGAAAGAGCAATTATGTAGGTAAATATGGTAGATCGATTTCAGCGACAAGGTCGGGTTTGGTTAAATGCGAGTCGCGAAAACGGCGAAGTGGTAAAATGCGAGACGTGTGCGGAAACCCGTCAACAGCCATTTTATTTGGCATTGTACCAGAAACCCACATAGTCGGCGACCATCTGGGGATATATCTGCGACAATTTTACTCCAACGGAATTGCGACGTGCCGATGATTTGATCAATTACTGTAATGTGACACATCATTTGGAGCATTGAAGAGTTTCTTTAAATTAATCTATGTGCGGATTCGTTTCCTTCGCCATTTTGATAACTAAGAAAATGTTAAAAATCGTAATTTTCTCGCATTTTCTTTCTCGATTCTACCACCTCGCCATTTCGCATTTAACCTGAACCCACGATCAAGGCCTCGAATAAAAAGGTAGACAGAACTATTGAATAATGGAGAGAGGGGGTTGTACGGAACGAAGGTTGCACGGAGAAAGGGTTGCTCAGATAGAGAGCTGTCGCAGACCGGGTTGCACAAGGGGGGAGTGTACAAAGAGAGGGTTGCACAGAGAGATGGTAGTACAGAGATGGTAGTACAGACAGATGGTAGTACAGAGAGATGGTAGCACAGAGAGATGGTAGCACAGAGAGATGGTAGCACAGAGAGATGGTAGCACAGAGAGATGGTAGCACAGAGAGATGGTAGCACAGAGAGATGGTAGCACAGAGAGATGGTAGCACAGAGAGAGGGTAGTACAGAGAGATGGTAGCACAGAGAGATGGTAGTACAGAGAGAGGGTAGTACAGAGAGATGGTAGCACAG